TAATTTATTTCAAACGGATTCATTAAATGTACTTAAACACACGTTCTCGTATTTCTTAACATGAATGAAAATACGAGGGAGATACCGAGTACAGAAGAAACACGATTTCTAACTGATTTAAGAATTTCCTGTTGGAATAGTACAGAAGTATTTACAAGATGTGAGATGAATTATAGATTCATTAAGTACACTCAAATACATACACGTTCTCGTTTTAAAAATACAGAGAAGTCAGGAAACATTCTTTCTGACAGATTTAAGAATAGATTTCTTAATAGAAAATAGGAAAGTACTCGAAACATTATTCTTGTAAGATATGAGACAAATTATGAAGAAGTATTCAAGGTTGAAATTCAGATGCTAGCACTTTGGTAGCCTGGCAAATAAAATGGGCAACTGGCAAGGAAGCCAGTAATGAAATTTGATTACCGTCTTGAAGCACCGCTCGGGAATACAAAGCACCTAATAATACGCAAACCAGCATCCTCTACCGCGTCTTAACAACTCTCGGTATTCTACAAGCGTCGAACAACTAAAAGAGGCGAGAGTCACGAGCGCTATCAAGCTTCTTCATCCAAAAGCACATAAACCGTGTTCAGATCAATTACTATCACCGTTTGTTCCACCGGAAACATTCGCACTGAAACAATTGACATAATAGATACATTGCGATATACTAAAATATGAATGCGAGATCAGAAAAAGGGAGAATACTTAGTTAATGAATTGCTGTCCAGAATCGAATCCATTTCTTGGCAAAGGGAATTTGAAATATAGAATTTATGTATCTATAAATATTTAAAATCGTCGATGGATGCCAAACGTCATGAATTATAAGAAATAATGTTTACCCAAAAACATACACTGCTTGTGAAACAATTAACATAACAGATACACTGCGATACACAAAAAGTCCATAAAAGTATGAGTGAGGCACTTAGAATATGAGTATAACTTACTGAAATAAAACGAATGATGTATTACATAATTTTAAATAACATTTATATAAAATAAAAAGAATCCTGAGAGAAACTGAAGAATGAAATGCTTTAAATGCCTGAGAACCTAAATAATTAAATGCTTTTCTTTAAACACCAAGAGCAGACTTTGTTACTTCTACATTAAAGATTGTATAACTAGAAACGTTGATGGATGAATTATGAAGAATAATGTTCACCCGAAAACACTTGCATTGAAACAATTGAGACAATAGATTCATTGCGATACACAGAGAGCTAGCAGGAGTGCGAAAGAGACAATTAAAATACGAAAGATGTAGTACGTCATTTGAAGCAACATTTGTACCTAATAGAAGAAACTGAGAAACTGAATGCTTTTGTGTTACATCAACAAGAGTCTATTATTCTTACACTAAAGATTATACATTTAAAACGGTCGATGGGTGAATTCTAAGGAATAATATTTACCCAAAGACATTTGTACCGCAGAGAACTGGCAAAGTCCTGCTGAACTGGTATCGTGAAAAGGCATCCGATCGTTAGTTAAAGGGCAATCCGTTAAAGGTGCGGAGAGATGCGCAAAGCTGTAGGGATGGGAATCGTTCCCCACTGCGTGGTGCACAATGAACGAGAAGAAGAAGAAGAAGAAGAAGAAGAGGTAGTAGAAGAAGAAGAAGAAGAAGAAGAAGAACGAAACGTGAAGAGAGTCCGGAGGGTCCCGTGCCGGCAGATGAATCCTAAGCAATTTCTCGCTGGTCGGGCCTCTTTGATGCTTTGAACTCTCACCGCGCTAACCGATCCTCCTGGTAATCACGCGGCCCTCGCCACGCCCCGAAAAACACCTTCGTTCCTCTCTCGCCTCTACCCATCCTTCACCGATTCGCGTGCATCTTCTCTCTCTCTCTCTCGCTGCTCCTCTTTGATCCTTCGCTGCAACGCGTTCGCATTCTTTTTTCTTTTATCTCTCGGCCCTCTATCCTTTACTTATAGTCGGTGAAAAAAATCTCTGAACCACGTTGCACCATCAATGTTTCCAAACTCCGATCCAACCGTTGTAAATACAAACAGCCAGCTCGAACATGAGACACATTGACTAGTTGCAACTGTAAATGCACGAAACAAGGTAAGAGAGAATCTGCAACAGTTTCAGATTTCTTTCGTCGACTGTACTTTCAACCTCTGTCTTCTTTTCATGTTCATCGCTATCTCTGTCTTGTCTTCGTCTTCGGTTTTCTTAATCCTTCGGTTTTGTAAAGGACTCTTTCTAACCGTGTTTTCTTCAACACCTCGTTGATACATACGCTTTCTGATATTCAAAAGGGTCTGCGCGCGTGCAAGCCACCTGTTTCATGGGTTTTTCTGACCACCCGCCACGAGACCTTCTTTCTTTTCAACACAGGATCGCAGGAAGTCTCGCGGCTTCTTTTTTACTCGCAGCCCTTTTCACCGTTCGGCTTCCGTTCCAACCCGTCACAACGCATGTCCCTTTTTGTCTTGTCCTGAAGAAACCACGAAATGCTCGTCGCAGGCGAATCTACAAATTCGTTTGAAGCGTCTTGTTATTTATTTCTTTAACGAGGATCTCATACTGATTACCGCGGAAGGGCGAAGAACAAGGAAGAGGAAGAGGGATAAATTAAAGAGCCGATCGAGGCAGCGAGATACGATCTGCGGAATCGGCGATCAAAAGCTTCGATTCAGATCCCACGGCTGCGATTACGGAGTCATGACCGGTAATGGAACTGAAATTTGATTACTTTCAATATTTTATGAGCTTCAACTATGTACGTTCATACCTGATAACACTGCGAACCTCGCGCACTTATAAAAAAAGTATAAAGAATGCACGCTTAAGTGATTTCTTTTTTCATTTCGCAGGAAGGAGAAATCTAGGAGATGCGAGAGAATGGGCACAAAAAACTAAGGATGAATCCGGACTGTTTAACCGAGGAACCGTAATCATTAATCAAGGCCCCCAAATAAGTAATTCATTAGGCATCGACTAACTCAGTTAAGAAAGCTAGTCAGAGGGAAGGACCGTGACGAATCTGGCAAATAATTTCGGGAGAGACTTTCCTGGGTGTAAAATAAAGTGAAGAAGCAGTTCAACCCCTAAGGCAACAAGGGAATAGGATCAAGGCTATGAACAAAGTAGAGCCGAGGAGAAAACGAAGAATCTGGCAGAAACGAAACAGGAGAAAAACGTGAGGAGGAGGAGGAGGAGGAGGAGGAGGAGGGGAGGGAGAGAGTGAGAGCAGGCGAGAACGGGGAGCGAAGGAGGTGTATGGGAGTGAAGGTGGTAAAAGGAGGAGAAAGGGTGCTCCTAATTCGTAGTTCGGGGCGGGGTTTTTTGTCGATAGAGAGAGAGTCTTAGGGGTTGGCCTCGGGGTGAGACGGAGAGGTCAGACACCGAAACGAGCCGAGGTATAAATTGGTTTGTTTGCCGCGGAGATAAAAGGGGCCGCTAAATGTTATCTTTAAGGTGTCGGATCAACGCAAATGTGGCTGAGTTACTCGTAATTATAGTATACACGGGACGAGGGACCCTCGCCTCTACCTGCCGGCCGGTTCTCCCATCTCTCTCCCACCCTCTCTCGTTTTCCTTAGGGTGTCTGCCATTGGCGTAACTATCGATCCGATCTACCGATCGGAGATATTATTGTCCTCGCGCCGACAAAGGCTTGTTTGGTTAGACGGCGGGCTCGTTCCATAGATCACAGGCACTCGATATTACTAGATTAAAAATCTTGATAAACACCGTCGATTTCGTAAACTCCTTCGTGTTCTTCAGGATCGTTGAACAAAATCTGATTCACTCTTAAAACAATTCACATTTTGTAAGTTTTCGGGGAAAACTCGTAATTCCTCGCGGGTTACGCCTATGGAGCTGGTTTTTATTTCGGTTTCCAACAAGACGGTGCAACTTGAAACAGCCGCGCGTACAGTGGATCCGACATGATGATACAAAATAATAATTCATAAATTATACGCGGCACAACCGTTTAGAGGTTTCAGGCTATGCCTACAAGTCAGCTTGTATATGCGACTGATTCCTCGGGTTTTTCAATAAACGAGTATAAGAGATGATCTAGAAAATTTCATACACTTATTCTCATTATTAATAATAAAAACAATTAAAATCTCTGACAATCAGTTTCAAAGATGAAAATCGATAATTATTTCTCAATAAAATAATAACAGTTTCCCAGATCGTTAATCTTATTTC